GAGAGAGAGAGAGAGATAGTGAGTAGATAGCACTAAGTTGCCCCCAAATAAATAAAAGTATAAAGTGAACACATGTTACGAGAAGAGCTCTGCACAAACTTGCATTAGATTTCACATTAAACCTGACTGGGTTGATTCGCGTCCCGACTTCAAAGACTTTTACAGGACAATTGTGTACGGCAGAAGAGCAGGCTCATGAAGAAGAGTTACGATCCCACGCATAGATTCTGACCTCCGGGGTCAGTTAATATGCCACGGCCCTGCAGCTTCCTGAGCCTATCCAGATTAAATAAAGCGGCAAACTGCCACTCTCTGGTTGCAGCGACTCCCCTTCTGCCAGCTGGTTTCAATAAGCCGCCCCGCTGCTCCATTCACGATCTCGGCCCTGCTGAAAGGTCAGCGGCCCGGGCCTTAACGAACATGGATGCGGGCCTGATGGATTTACGCTAAGAGAGAACAAGCCGGCAATAAAAAGGGCAGGGGCACTCAGTAAGGGCCTCGCTAATACAGCCATCAAAGGTTGTTTGCTTTTCATACTTTCAGCTTCCAGTGTCGCTCAGCTCATACGGCCGGCCTGTCTGCGTCGGTAGCTCCCAGCACGGACTAACTGAGGAGTGGGAAGTAGTTACTGAAACCAAATTATTGCTATAAATAACCCTAACTTCCTCTCTCGACGTCTGTGTTACTTTTCCCACCTCTGACACAGTCTCATGCTGTGATTTAAAGCCTGTGATACCCCTGCAGTTCTGAAGGTGCCGTCGGGCCATATCCTGTGAAATACTGTTGTTGTATTGATCTACATCAGTGGTTCACAACCTCTTTTGGTAATGACATGTAAATACAAAGCAATACAAAATTTGGTTTGATTTGTGAGCAGTTCCATTAAAGAGTGACTTATTCTTAGATTGTTTGAATTGATTTGATTCAGCGTTGAAGTAAATTTAACTGGCAACAAATAGTCCAATCAGAGCCTCACACTGACCCAATCTACATAAACTTAGACCAGTTATCTTTTCATGGTGGCACTAGAGCGACAGTCAGGGGATCATGAAAGTCAGTAGGCTTCATCCTCTGTGCACCATGAATGTCTGTAAAAAATGCTACTCCACTGAGTAGATGTTGAGATATTTCACAGGGTAAGTGGCCTGTTGGTGGCGCTAGAAGAAAAGTCAGGGGATCATCAGTCATAATTAATCCTCCATGGGAATGTCTGTATAAACTTTCACAACCATCTATCTAAAACTTTAATATTACAGCAACAGATAGACAGACCTTAGAGCCGAACTGAAACGAACTGAAATGTCATCTGGTTTTGATGGTCATTACTTAATAATCATTCCGTCATTGTTTGGGAAAACGACCAAATGGTACAAAAAGTAGTAACAAGTAAGTAAGTAAGTAAGTATCACAACTATCCGGTATATTTGCAGCAGAATTGAGTTTTTTCTTATTTCCGATCCCAATAATCATCTTGCATCCCTTTGTAGGGTCCGGACCCCCTGGTTGAGAACCGCTGCTCTACGTTGCTGTTCACAGTTTAACTCAGTTCAGTTCAGTTGAACAGGACACAACAGGTCATGTGGTGGTCGTAAATTTCCGTCCTGTCCTGAAGATGAATGAATACAGAATAGATTTGTGGCCAGAGTTTTCTGAGGTTGAAGAACTAACAAATCACTGTGCTATCTTACAGTCTGTTTTACCAGTGAACTATTAAAACTACAATATGAGTGTGTGACATTATTTATTGTAATATTAGAGATAAACTTTGATATGCTCTGGCTAAGCTTCCCCTCATTCCCCATCACTGCACTCTTCTACAAAATGATAACGCAACAAAATATTCAACCCAAAATGTGGAAAAGCTCAATAAGTTATGGCTGAGCCTTCGCTTCAGAAACCAGACTCTTCCATTCATTAGACCTTTTATCCATTTCTGTGGTCGCGTCTGTCCAGTGAGCAGTCGCAGAGGGCATCTCTTTCACAGATGGCTGTATGAAATAGATCTGATTGTCAGATGAAAAACTCCAATCTAGCTCTGTTGAATCAGTGCTGGAATCCAATCCGCTCATAAATGTGTGTCTTTCATGCTGATCTAAAACCACAATTATGAGCTTAGGAGCCAAAATAACATGGCTTGATTTGGGGCCTGCTGTCAGATATTTCTTTCAATGAAATGAAATAACTCTATGATCTCAGCTAATCTCTGTCCCCTCTTTTTTCCATCGCGTGCCCAAATATTTATGTAACGCAAAGCAATATTACGTTATTGTTCGTTAAATCTTTGAGGATTCTTTCAGCTGCTCATTTTTACCTCGTGTTTGTTCCTTGTCTTTCACTGCCCGTGTCACTTCATGTACTGAGGTTTTCTCATTACTCGGGAAAGGGGGTTGAATCATTATCATTACAGGAAAATCAGATGAGGGGGAGCGTTGACTTCAGTCCTTCATCTCTTTGTCCGGGAAGTTTAGAGATTAAAAAGAAGAATAAGGCAATGTGTGGACAGACACCTCCCAACCAGCTGTCAGATAATAATAAACCAATTATGTTCCTCGCATGTTTACCCTCCTTTAATCTCAACGAGGAAATATAAACTTTAGGAAAACTGTTATTATCTCAGTGAGGACTGAACATGCTATAACTGTACATCAACACCCGTTATTAAATGTAAAAAATAGAGCTTTAACAGAAATTAAAACGGCGCTTATTCTTTCAGTTTGCTTCTTTTTTTTTTTGTGCATTTAACTGTTTATACAGCACTTTTATACAAGAATCCATGCAGAGCTTTTTACATTACTTAGAGCATCCAGATTAACTGAATTCGAAGGTGGAGCGAAAAGCCGTTCATCACAGAGAGAGAAGGAGACCAACTGAATACTGCTCATCTTCCAAGCGTGTAGGAGAAACTACGGTGGCCCTGAAAGGCTCCACGAAACATGGTGGATCAACATGGTGGACTCTGTAGATAAAAATGTTACAGGCTTCAGTATGAGACCATAAGGTGTCGAATAACACCTGCACAGTCATGCTTCATTAGTGAATTGATGAATAGATAACTGTATAATAGAAAGAGCTACAATAAATCCTTTGTCCTGATGCTGTAAAGGTAATAATAGCGTAGGATCCTGTAGACGAGGATACGGCGGGGTGCTCTTGTCTTTGCTGCAGTGAACCTGGATTACTTTTGAGACAAGATCAGAAGTTGTAAGGAGTTACTTTTTTCTATGTTTTGAAGGGCTACAACTATAATTTTTCTCCTTATTGGATTGTTTTTTTTTCTTAATCATCCAATCATTTGGTTGTTTGTCAGAAAATTGTGAACAACCGCAATCATAACATTCCTAAAAGCCAAGGTGACGTCTTCAAAGTCCAACCAACTATCCAAAACCCAAAGATAATCAGTTTAATCACGTAAGACAAAGAAATTAGGTAAACCCACAGGAAACGTTTTAATTCAATTATAAAAATAGATGAATTTTCACTCAGTTAACAAATCATTTAAGCTCTAATAAACAGATTTATGGATGTTAATTCTCAGCGGACATCGGGGATCTGAACACCAGCTGACTGCGGCAGTGTGTGCACGATGTTTCAGGATAATATCCGAATAATATAAACTCTCCTGTCCAAGTCCTGAGTGGGTGTTTAAAATGAAAATGAAAACATATAACAGGGATCCCTCAGTGTGGACAGGAGAAGTGAGCAGCAGTGAGCGAGCGTGAAAGATGCTGGTTTCTTACCCCATACTTGCACTGGCGTGAGGAGGCTCCGTACTGGAAGCGACACTGCTCGTCTGCATCGTACACCTGCCCCGGGGCCACTGTTGGGTACAGGAAGTCTCGTTTCAGAGGTTCATTGTCCAGACACGTCCCCCGACCTGAGCTGTCAAAAAAACAAACCTACAATAGGATTGTTTCTTACACAAAGAAACCTTTCTACACTTGGCTGATGGCAGAGCTAGAAATGCCAAGATTGGATGATTAAAGCCCCCGCAACCCGTCCTGACTCTTCTTTTTAAAGTTCTTGGCTTGTGTTTTTGCTCAGTTAATGTTGCCACATACCATTGTAGGAGCTGTCAAGAGTCTCAAATGACATGTGTTAATGTTGATATGTACCAGTCAATGCTTCCTCATCAAAGGCAGTGGTTGGGCCAAGCAGGAGACTTTTACCGAGGCGAAGAGGGCGTCTGCCCGGTCTTAAATGACACATGCCCTCTCTGATTTATGGCTCGTGTGCTGCACTATTCTGTATTGTCCATGGTTATAGTGAATCACAGAGGAGCCATAATAATAACAAGCAGGAAAGATAGAGATAAAGTCTGTAGTGAGAGCTTATGGGTCAAATGTCATGCTAGGATTATGTTTATCTGTTTTGTCGATAGAATATGTGTGCATAATGAATCGCAGTAAACACGACACACACAAACACACACAAGCTGTCTTTGTATGTCTGTTACTAAAATAAGAAACGACTCAGCAAGGAGCTCACGAGTCTTTTGTTGTGTGTGTGTTATTCTGGGTCGGATCCTGAGGCACTTCGTCACGAATAAGATTCTTCCTTTTTGACGTTCCGCCTAGGTAATCACTAAATCATGCTAAATGACTGTGTGCAGTAACAATCAGAGATGTGATTTCATTTTTGATCGGTCTACTCCTCTGTTTGCTCTGAGTCAGGCTTTTTCAGGGCAGAATAGTCTACCCTTATTAGTATAAGAGAGATCTGCAGTGGAATGCTTCCATCCTCGAAAGAAAAAAGTGGGCCCGGTGAAACACTATGCGAGCTCGGCTTTAGGATTGGAGCGAGAATACAGGAGAGAGACAGCTGTTTACCAGTTACGAGCAAACTATTTGGTGTCCAGGCTTTGATATTTTGTATCTGAGATAATTGACTTCATGAAGGTGATGGAATTAGATTGTGCTGCTCGCAGCACTGAAGTGATTAAAAGTTCCTGGATACTTTCAATACGCATTCTGTAAACTCTTGGACCCTGCTATGTACTCCAGGGATATCTGCAGTTTGCAGGGTATGTGGGAAGATTGTGGTAGTCTAACAATGAGGATGAGACAGAGTGAGAAATGTTGCATTTACAGGGAACAAAAAGACCAGTATATGTTGTCTGACTTTGTTTTCAAAATTCGAATGTGGATGTGGGATGACTATTTTTGCAAGCTATTAATAGCTTTGGGCAATAAGGTGTCTGTAAAGTGAGCTCTATGTTTCTAGTATATTAGTTGTGTCTTACATTTCACGCAATGTTCCACGTTGAAGCGCTGCGTTTCCCGGTCGCGTGTCTGGATGGGTCCGTATCCTTTGTGCCTGCGTCAGCGTTGTGGTTGTTGCCAGAGAGCTTGTACAGAATTGAGCTGTTTATGCCAGTTGAGCACATTGTTTTACCATCCCTGTTTAGATCTGGTCTTTTTAACTTAGATTTGACCGGATGAGGTTTTAGTATCAGGTCTGGATTTCAGTTATCAGAGAACAAGCTGGCTACGTTAGCAGAGTCGGCTCGCAGCCCTACAGTGTGTTGAGGATGCGTGATTTTGAAGGTGGAACTGCTTTTTCAGTGTTTTTTTAGCGGTTTTCATCGCAGGTACTATTTGTCACCGGTAGAACCTCCTGAACGAAGGACTGGAGTAATCCTAGGGGAAGGCTGACTGCAATGACGGGCAATAGTGGTGAGCAAAGAACTCCCATGATCCTACACTGCTTCAGGACGTCATTAAGTGTTTTTATTTAATATATATAACTAATTTCATTCCCAAAATGTCACCTGCGCTCCTCTGGTTCTCGCCACTTGAAATAATCCCTACAAAAATTGTTGACAATCTGTTCTGTGTGTTATCCAGAGTAACTGGGACAATGCTTCAATAACAACATTCATTGTTTTCATCCCAGGGTGGCAAATAAAAAATGTATTTTAAGTGCAACTTAAATGTTCCAGACCAAAAGGAAAAAACTCTTCCTTCCCTCCTTCCTTTCCCCCCCTATCTTCCCTCTTTCTTGCTCTGTCCATCCCCTGTTCTCAGTTACTGAATGGAATAATCCTGTTTCTTGGCTCGTGTTCCTCGGAGGACCCTCTCATCACGGAGCGAGGGAGACAAACCAGTCTCTGAGGCCCCAGACTCCCCGAGCACCAAGGGCAAGCCTCACTATTTATTGGTTTGGGGAGAGACAAAATAGTCAAAGTTTAAACATAGAGGCTATTATTTGACATCGTCGCAAAGGCTTCCTGTCCGGTGGATTCAGCCAAATTCATTATGCTGGGCGGAAATATCCTCTAATAAGCGAGAACATCAGTGATCCCTGAACTCTGACACCAGTCATTCATGTTGATATTAACCATCCTGATTGGATCCAACCAGTGTTGAGACAGCAGCATGATTAAATCAGACTAACCTAACAATTATCATAAGGCACAAGTCACACAAGTCTAATATCAAATTTAATAGAGCATGTGGTCTCTGAGAGTTTAATGAACTTAAACTGCCTGCTATATAACGTTTATAACAAACTGGCATGCAGACTCGGGAGAATAAACTATGACTGAACTGTGAGTGCATTCATAAACCATTCCTCAAAAACCCAAACAAAGCACCACATATTGCTTTAGCAAGACGGTGAATCTAGGCCAACACCACAGCCAAAGTTGTTTACTTGGCTTCGGGAAGCATGTGCGATATCCAAAACTCTGATTGAGGGAGAGAAAGGGAGGATAATTGGGAGTTTACAGACAGAACCCTTTTGTAAGAAACATAAAAGCTAAAGGCAATAAAACTCAAAATGAAAAGAAAAACTCACATACAAATAGGGGTATAATGTAGGCCGGGAAATAGTTTTGAAAACAAGCAAAACAACTTTGTGTCTTTTTTGTTAGAGCACAGCTTTGGTCACTCTCAGGCACTCGAGCCAGAAACGGACAGGAACCCGGCGGAGCAGCAGAGAAGCGGGTCTTTGTGTCCCAGTTGGAAGCTGGCATATAATACTGTCATCTCTGTCACAAGTGCTGTTCACTAACCCTCCTCTAACAGCTTTCAGCCGGAAACATCATCTGACAACCACGGCTTTCTTGGAGGGCCTTGCCAGCTAAACACGAATACACAAACAGACGTGCACAAAGACACACACCGCAGACTAGCATCCAACCGATACTCCACCACAGGGTTGTGTATTAGGATTTGCAAGCAGCACTCAGGTCTTAGTGATGGCCAATTAAGTGAACTGCAGAGAGAAAGGAGATGGAAAAGGAAGGATTTTTCACACTCAGAAGCAGTTACAAATAAAGATATTTGAACTCCCCTCAGCTTATTTGCAGGGGGGAGATTAAATGAATGGGCTTTATTATCCAGAGGGCAATAAAAAAATAACACTTTGAATGAGAATAATGTGTTTTTCTATGATTCCACCAAATGAGATCAACCCTAACAAACACAGGCAGATACATGCACAGATACATGCACATTATTCTGCATGAATATTAGGAGAGCAGGGCAAGCCTGTTACATTAAAGTGTCCCTTAGTAAGAGTCAGCTAAGAATCAGATAAAAGGTGAAGTTGACGCTGACCTCTCTCCCCCTCTGTCCCTAAATCTGTTCCACTTCTATTCAGAGCTGTTATAGCAGATAAAACCTATTCAAGTAGACCTAACTCCTGCTGCAGCATCCTCCAGGTCCTCAGGTCTGATTATGAACCTTCACCTCCTTGTTGAACCGCTTCTTTTCCCTTCTGTGCGTCTGTTAACATGCCAAGTTCTTCTGTTTAACTAGTAATCCTGCTCTTTTTTTGAAAGAGATGTTTACCTTGTGGTTTACAATTGTTTGTTGCCACCTTGGAGGCAGTGCAACGAAACTGTAAACCACCCATTTACAGGTTGATATGCTAAAACTGCTTCTTAGCAAAACTGTTGCTTTACTGTGCACATGCCAGAGA